CACACATCTCAGTATAAGAACCATATCAAACACACACACTGCACACACCTCAGTATAAGAGCCATATCAAACACACACACTGCACACACCTCAGTATAAGAGCCATATCAAACACACACACACACATATAAATATATATATGTGTGTGTGTGAAAAACACACACAACACACACAAAAAATATGTAATTTTTTAAATAATAGTGTATTATATACCATGTTTGATAATGTTTGGTTCTGTGTGAGATGGTTTGATCTCTAGAGACGCGTCGTTCCTCCAGAGAGACATGAGGAGCAAACACACACTGATCACGAGGGACGCTGGTGCATTACTCCTTTATTCTCATTAGGACTTCATTTATCACATCATTACTTTTCTTTCTCCAGAACTGGTCAATGAAGGCAGATGCTGAACCTTCAGAGAATGACGGCCAACCTACATGTTATATAAGCTATATGATATTTAAAAAGTCACAGTACAATATGAATGGACAGCGTGAAGAACTTATAAACATGACGACACAAAGACACTTCTAGAAACACAAGCTCGATTTCAGGCAACAGTACGTCACGCATTTTGTCAGAAAACAATTTTTTTAAAAATGCAGTTTTCTCTTCTTAAAGGGACAGTTCACCAAAAATGATTCTGTTTCTTTAAGATGTGTGCTTTAAGCTTACACCGCCTACTATTTTTAATCATTTTTTCCCTCATGGGGACCGCAGGACAGAATCTGTCAAAAAAAATCGCAATTTGATATTTTCCCCCAAATTGCACAGCCCTATTTTATAGTTATTGATTCAGCAGATTCTTCAGCAGAAACACAAATGAGGCTCTGCGTTACAATGGCGAGGGTCAGTTTTCACTGGCAATTAAACGATTGTAAGTCACCAATGATATTAGAGACGACTGAAACTCCAAACTGGCACCGTATCTGTGATCTGAAAGAGACGCTGGTGTTTGAATAAAGAATCTCTTCAATTCATTTTTTTCGGTTTCGGCACTGATTTTCTGAACTGAAAATCAGCCTGAAAATCCCCTGCTGCTCGACCTGCTTTAAACTGGAATATACACCAGAGATTTAGACGAGCTACATAATATTTATAGGTTAATACCAACTTTTGCAAAGTTTCTGGATTGAGAACTGTAATTAGATGCAGGATTGAATCAGAAAATGAAATGACCGACAGTGAAAATCAAAGGACGGGACAAAAAAATCTGATAGCTTACATCAGAAAACACCTGAAGTCTTTGAATGTAAATCTGTGTTTATGCACCTTCTGAATGAAAAAAGCATTACTTGTGGATCATTTTGGCTCAGAAACTGAGGTGCATGAGCTCAGATCAATCAGCTCCAAAAAGAAACTCAAAACCTGTGCTGATTAACAGAATAGTTCATAAAAAGACTGAATCCAAGATTAGGTGATAATTGAGCATAATGAGAAACTTATAAGCAATTTTGTGTAGGCCAGTAATTTTTTTGACTTCTTGTTATCAGAAACTATTTAACAGGACATGTTCTAATGTAATGTATATATAATTTCATACTTAGTGTTAAATGTTTATTCCCAGCACTAGTAGTGACTGACTTAAACACCACTAACAAACACACGAGCTGTTTACGGTTAACAGGTTGTGTTTCATCAGGTTTGATGCTCTGAGCTGCAGAATGAAGGCCTGGATTATAATCATAAAAGAGATGTTTCCTGTTCTTTCTGCAGAAAAAACAAACATGCATGCAGTCTGAACACACACACACATACACTCTCTCTCACACACACACTCACTCTCACACACACACACTCTCACACACTCTCACTCTCTCTCTCACACACACAGATTATATATATATATATATGTGTGTGTGTGTATGGCGATAATACCGCATACCGCGCTATTGAGCCACTCAAAATTACCGCAAGGGAAATTCCCTCACCGCGACAGCCCCACGTCTCTGTCAAACAGAAGCGATGAATCCTGTGAGATGAGCGTGGGTTTGGCTGCTCTGATTTCCCCTCTCCTGCTTTACTTCTGCTCGCATAACTTCGCTTCTTTGTTTGATCGATTTCTTCCTATTTTGTGATTTTGTGAACAAAGGGCCAGTGTGTGTGAAGCACAGGTGAGCGGCGTGAGAATCCAACACCTGAACAAGCAGGTTTTGAACTTCCTGCATAACCTTGAGCAAACAGAGACACCAAAGATCCGGTATTCACAGAAAACTAGATGAAACACACCGGTTTGAGTCTGTGAACCCGAGCTGAACTCGCTCCAGTCTGGCTGTGCTTGATAAACGGATCTTGGCACGTTTGTCAGACTCTCGGTGAATCTCGCGCTTTAGCGGTTTCTCGCCGGTCTGAGAAGATAAACACACGCGTGGAGATCCTGCTGGGTTTCGGTTACAGAGCAAACACACCCGTACATGTGCGTCAACACCTGCTGGATAAACCTGCTCGCCCGTCACACACCCGGATGTGCCGCTAAACACACACTCACGCTCCTGACCGACTAGAGCTTCAGTTTAACCATATAAATGACCAAAACTGCCATTTATCCAGTAAAAGCTCTTTTAGTGTAATCGTACAAACGTCCAGCTTCAGCTTCTCGTGTCTTTCTGCCGTCAAATCCTGACTGATTTTGATCAAGTAAACACCAGAATCAGACAAGTGTTAAATTAGTATCACTGAGATGCTACTATAATATTATTAGTTATTATAATATATTAACATTTTTATTAGTTCTTTTTTAAGTCAGTACAATTTTTATTATTTACTTAAATATTTTTACATCGTTTTTTTATATTTTATTTCATTTCAAGTAATGGTTTTAGTTCAATATTTTATTAGTTATTTTTACGTTTATTTTTTGTTTTATTTAAACTTTTTTATTATTTGATTTTATTATACTCAATGAAATATTTTTAAATCGTTTTTTTAATATTTAAATTTTATTTCAGTGAAGGTTTATTTTATTCCAAGCAATGAAAATGGTTTTAGTTTTTGCAAAATATAGCCCTGAAAGCTATACTGATATTTACATCATTGTGTGTAAATATCAGCTACACTTTTATAAAGATCCCACTGACTTACATTACAATCAGAATTTCATGCTTTTTGGCCCATAAATACCAGCATCTGCATAATTGCATATAGTTGGGTCAAATTTAGCTGGTTTTTCCTCCATATTCTCATTATTAAAAATAAAGCTTCGTTATTGGCATCAATGGTTCTGTGAAGAACCTTGAACCTCCACGGAACCCTTCAAATACAGAAAAGGTTCTTTAGATTTTTAAAATGTTCTTCAAATTGGTTCTTTTAGGAACTGTTCACTGAAAGGTTCTTTTGGGAACCAAAAATGGTTCTTCTTTGGCATCACTGCAAAAACACCCTTTTGGAACCTTTTTTTTTAAAGGGGTCATATGATGCTTTACGATCAATCATTATTTTGTGTATTTGGTGTAACAGAATATATTGACATGCTTTAATGTTCAAAAAACACATTATTTTTCAAATACTGTACATTATTGTAGGCCCTCTATGCCCCGCCTCTCTCAAACGCTTCGGGCGGCGGCAACAATACTACAGCGAGAATAAAAGTTAGGCCTTCTTTCTTTGTGTGAACATTTGGGCGGTGTTATGCAAATCTTCCCACATAGTGACGTAGACATGTGGGGCGTGTTAGAACGAGCCGTTTTAGGTAGGTGTGGCTGACTCTTAACTTTTATAAAGAATATCTCTTTGGATTTGAGACTTTAGTCTTTACAACTTTACAGATCTTCTTTATGCACCAAGAGCTTGTAACACTTCAAAGAGAAAGGAACAATTGAAATCGCATCATATGACCCCTTTAAAAGTGCATCAGACTATACCAGCCATAAAAGCTTGATGGATCAAATTTTTGAAATTGAGATTTATACATCATCAATAATCTTTCCATTGATGTATGGTTTGTTAGGATAGGACAATATTTGAAAATCTGGAATCTGAGGGTGCAAAAAAATCTAAATATTGAGAAAATCACCTTTAAAGTTGTTCAAATTAAGTCTTTAGCAACGCATATTACTAATCAAAAATTAAGTTTTGATACATTTACGATTCAAAACATCTTCATGGAACACGATCTTCAAGCATAAAAGAAAAATGTAACATTTTGACTCATACAATGTATTGTTGGCTGTTGCTACAAATATACCTGTGCTAAAATTAAGTCTTTAGCAATGCATATTACTAATCAAAAATTAAGTTTTGATATATTTACGATTCAAAACATCTTCATGGAACACGATCTTCACTTAATAGCCTTGGCATAAAAGAAAAATGTAACATTTTGACTCATACAATGTATCGTTGGCTGTTGCTACAAATATACCTGTGCTGCTCATGACTGCTTTAGTGCTCCAGGCTCACATGATATGGTTTCTTTATATTTGGACTAGTATATCAGGTGTAATATACGGCTGATGATCTGCAGTGAGCTGTAGACCAGCAGAAAGCACCTCAGACCAGCAGCGCTCACCTTGATCCTGTGCAAGCTCCTCTCCTCCTGCAGCACCTGGATCCAGACGCAGATGCTGTTCTTGTTGTAGGTGAGACTCCAGTCTTCCTCGGACTCACACTCGTGTTTAAACCGGCTAAAAGCGCGGTCATCCGGGATCAGAACCTCTTCCTCGGACATCATCATCCTCCTCCTCTGAGACCGGATCCCGGGGGAACTAACGGGGGAGTTCGCTTTTAAATCCGGATTAGCGCGTTTTCCGTGCGCTTCCGCGGGTTTAAAGATCCAGAAGCGTGCGAATAAACTGACGCAGCCTACTAACGTGCGTGGAAGATGAATAAACGCAAACGCGCGAGCAGCTGTTACATCCCGCTGCGCTCGTGCGTGTGTGTGTGTGTGCGCGTGCGTGTGCAATAGACGAGCGACCGCGGGAGCGCGCATGCGTGACTGACAGCTGAGCCCCGCCCACCCTCGTGCACGCGCACGGCGCTGACGTGTTGCCGGCTTCCATCACAACCATCGCCTTCATCCATTTCTCTTCATCGAGGCATGCAAGTCATGCATGAAACTCAGTGCTGAGGAGAGTTTGCACAATAAACAATTTCCCCAATATCATCTTACTAAGACATGTTGTAGATATAGAGTGACGACTGATAGATAAGTGCAAAATTTTAAAAATAGATTTTTCTGAAAATTATTTCACAATCACAGATTAATTAATGATCAACAGATTGAGACATACTACTATTAATGATACTACTAATATTTTATTAAATAAAAACAATCAAAGGTTCACTTTGGATAAAAGCGTCTGCTAAATGACTAAATAAATAAGTTTTAGTCAATTTAATACAAACATAATCAATAATTTCAATAATTTATTTATTAAATGTTAATTTTATTAAATGTATTTAACGGTGAATGTAATAATAATAATAATAATAATATAAACATTAATTAAATGTATTTCATAGAACATTTAATACATAAATAATACATCAATAATTAAGATAAATATTTATTTATTTAATGTATTTAATAGTAAATGTCATACATACAAAAATAAAAAAATAATTAATAATAAATAAATATTTTAATGAATTATAATAAGAAATATTTGTAAATATTATGTAATACATTAAATAAATATAATAAATATTTTAATATATACATTTTTCACACTGTGTAAATTAAATGAATGAAGTTTAAAAATTGAAATAATTCTTTAAAAAAAAAATAATAATAAAATAATATAATTTGAGAGTAAGATAAGAAGAGAAGTTCAGTGCCGAAGAGAACTGACCTCAAACATCCACTAAACACCAGCGGATTCAAACACACTGAGCAAACATCATGATTTAAAGTGTTTAAATGCCACTGTGCCAATATATGTTGTAATAATAAAGACAGACACGCAGCAGGAAACAGGAAGTTTGAGGCGTGGAGGAGATCAGTAACATCTCTACAACATGCACCTCACCTGACGACAAACACACGTTTACTCTACATGCATGTGTTATTCTCATATCTGCCAGCCAGCCATGCAGAACCTCGACTAATGTACTGCGGACTCTCATGTAAAGTCAATAGATCTTATAAGAGCAGCACTTAAATGTTTCCATTAAACGTCCAAATAAACACTGCAGACAGCATTGCAATCACATGATGCAAGAAGTTAACCTGACACTGTACAGTTTATATATTGAATATTACAGACACATTTAGAGCTGCATGTCAATTCTATAACCTTGCTTGAATGTGAGTGAATTCTAGAGTTTAGGGTTAACCCTTTGCACTGTAGTTCCGCTGAACCTTAAGACAATGTATTGGGCATAGCATTCAAGTCTAATATTCATATTTGCATTAATATTCTGCTTTGGTTCATCTGCTGGCTGATGACAGAGAGAGAAAGTGTTGCTCATGTATTTTGTGAGTTTAGGCGCGCATAAAAGAAAAATGTAACATTTTGACTCATACAATGTATCGTTGGCTGTTGCTACAAATATACCTGTGCTGCTCATGACTGCTTTAGTGCTCCAGGCTCACATGATATGGTTTCTTTATATTTGGACTAGTATATCAGGTGTAATATACGGCTGATGATCTGCAGTGAGCTGTAGACCAGCAGAAAGCACCTCAGACCAGCAGCGCTCACCTTGATCCTGTGCAAGCTCCTCTCCTCCTGCAGCACCTGGATCCAGACGCAGATGCTGTTCTTGTTGTAGGTGAGACTCCAGTCTTCCTCGGACTCACACTCGTGTTTAAACCGGCTAAAAGCGCGGTCATCCGGGATCAGAACCTCTTCCTCGGACATCATCATCCTCCTCCTCTGAGACCGGATCCCGGGGGAACTAACGGGGGAGTTCGCTTTTAAATCCGGATTAGCGCGTTTTCCGTGCGCTTCCGCGGGTTTAAAGATCCAGAAGCGTGCGAATAAACTGACGCAGCCTACTAACGTGCGTGGAAGATGAATAAACGCAAACGCGCGAGCAGCTGTTACATCCCGCTGCGCTCGTGCGTGTGTGTGTATGTGCGCGTGCGTGTGCAATAGACGAGCGACCGCGGGAGCGCGCATGCGTGACTGACAGCTGAGCCCCGCCCACCCTCGTGCACGCGCACGGCGCTGACGTGTTGCCGGCTTCCATCACAACCATCGCCTTCATCCATTTCTCTTCATCATTGAGGCATGCAAGTCATGCATGAAACTCAGTGCTGAGGAGAATTTGCACAATAAACAATTTCCCCAATATCATCTTACTAAGACATGTTGTAGATATAGAGTGACGACTGATAGATAAGTGCAAAATTTTAAAAATAGATTTTTCTGAAAATTATTTCACAATCACAGATTAATTAATGATCAACAGATTGAGACATACTACTATTAATGATACTACTAATATTTTATTAAATAAAAACAATCAAAGGTTCGCTTTGGATAAAAGCGTCTGCTAAATGACTAAATAAATAAGTTTTAGTCAATTTAATACAAACATAATCAATAATTTCAATAATTTATTTATTAAATGTTAATTTTATTAAATGTATTTAACGGTGAATGTAATAATAATAATAATAATAATATAAACATTAATTAAATGTATTTCATAGAACATTTAATACATAAATAATACATCAATAATTAAGATAAATATTTATTTATTTAATGTATTTAATAGTAAATGTCATACATACAAAAATAAAAAAATAATTAATAATAAATAAATATTTTAATGAATTATAATAAGAAATATTTGTAAATATTATGTAATACATTAAATAAATATAATAAATATTTTAATATATACATTTTTCACACTGTGTAAATTAAATGAATGAAGTTTAAAAATTGAAATAATTCTTTAAAAAAAAAATAATAATAAAATAATATAATTTGAGAGTAAGATAAGAAGAGAAGTTCAGTGCCGAAGAGAACTGACCTCAAACATCCACTAAACACCAGCGGATTCAAACACACTGAGCAAACATCATGATTTAAAGTGTTTAAATGCCACTGTGCCAATATATGTTGTAATAATAAAGACAGACACGCAGCAGGAAACAGGAAGTTTGAGGCGTGGAGGAGATCAGTAACATCTCTACAACATGCACCTCACCTGACGACAAACACACGTTTACTCTACATGCATGTGTTATTCTCATATCTGCCAGCCAGCCATGCAGAACCTCGACTAATGTACTGCGGACTCTCATGTAAAGTCAATAGATCTTATAAGAGCAGCACTTAAATGTTTCCATTAAACGTCCAAATAAACACTGCAGACAGCATTGCAATCACATGATGCAAGAAGTTAACCTGACACTGTACAGTTTATATATTGAATATTACAGACACATTTAGAGCTGCATGTCAATTCTATAACCTTGCTTGAATGTGAGTGAATTCTAGAGTTTAGGGTTAACCCTTTGCACTGTAGTTCCGCTGAACCTTAAGACAATGTATTGGGCATAGCATTCAAGTCTAATATTCATATTTGCATTAATATTCTGCTTTGGTTCATCTGCTGGCTGATGACAGAGAGAGAAAGTGTTGCTCATGTATTTTGTGAGTTTAGGCGCCACCTGCAGGTCACAAGCGTCATGTGCTCATAATACATAATATATGGGCCTAATACTAGTGAATTAATAATAATATAATAATACAATATTATTATCAAACTCTAAGCTGAAGCAGAAACATTGATCTTTCGTCTCTCATCTTGATCCAGTTGGGAAAAAAATTAAAAACTGTGGTTAATTTGCACACTGTTTTATATTATTCTGTACATATGCATGTCCAAAAAATGTACTACCCTTAAAAGTTATTAATAAATAATATATATATATTTTTTTTACATTATTGTGAATGTCCAAAATTGTATTCCCACAAGAATTTAAAAATAAAATAAAATAACTAGATAGATAAATTAATTAAAAAATAAATAAAAATAAAAAATAAAACCCTAAACCTAACCACTTTTATAATGTTACAAAAAAAAAGTCACATTCAAAATAATTAACATTTTCTATGGGTCAAATATAATTAATTAATGGTTTAAATATGATATATTAATATGAAACCTTGAGCTGAAGCAGAAATATCGATCTATTATCAATAAAATATAATATTAAATATATATATATATAAAAATAAAAAATATAATATGTATGTATACGCATGTCCAAAAATTGTATTACAACTTTCAAATAATCAGAATAAAAAAGACTACAACAAAATAAAATAAAATAATGAAACAAAACAAAATAAAATGAATAGGCCTAATGTTAATAAAATACAACAAAAAAATTAAAACAAATAAAATAAACCTTTCTGCGTGTATGCGCGGCGGTGGTGACGTCATTAAACTACACTTCCCATGATTCCGCGCGCATCACGGATGTTTTTCGTTTACCGGACACACGTTTCTGCTCTCGAGCTCTGACTCACCTGCTGACATTAAAACCATAAACCGGCTGTCGGTGAGATCACAGGAACGCGAACTCTGAACACGCCGCCTTCTCTGTTAACGGAACCCGTTGTTGTTACGGTTGCGATGTTCCTGTCGTCGGTACCGGCGCGCGTCCTGATGCGAAGGTCGCGCAGTCTGTCGCCGCGCCGCGCGCTGCACACCGGCCACGGCGAGGCCTCGCGCTTCCGAAACCTCTGCGAGCTCGAACCGAACCGGAGCCCGGTGGCCAGCGGATCGCGCGCGTCCAGGAAGAGCGTCGCGAGCGAGGAGTCGCGCGTGCAGTACCATCAGCTGGCCAGCAGGTGGCGCGTGAGTCTGGAGAACCGGCGGAGCAGCTGGGCGAGTCTGACCGCCGCGGGGCGCTGCAGAGGCGGACACCAGAGCCGCTCAGAGTCCGCTGCTGCTGCTGGAGCCGCGGGCGTCGCGGGCGTCATCTCCGCCGCGGCGCTCGCCTTCTGCTTGAAGAAAGACAGCGATGATAAAGGTCCTAAACACTCCACACACGCTCTGTTCACACAGAACGGACAGAGATATAATAATAAAATTCACATTTATACAGATTTACACAGAATCTGAAGGTCTAGAATCTGAACAGAATCTAGAATCTGAGGGTGCAAAAAAATCTAAATATTGAGAAAATCATCTTTAAAGTTGTCGGGGACCACAGGCCGCACTCACTATGTAGCTTAAACAGTCGTTCACGAACTCTCTCTGTGTGTCTCAGGTTGTTGGCGCAGGGAGCCGATCCGAACACTCGACACCGTTTGGGCTGGACGGCTCTCATGGTGGCTGCTATGAATAGACAACACAAGTGAGTGTGTGTGTGTGTGTGTGTGTGTGTGGTGTGTGTGTGTGTGTGAGTGTGAGTGAGTGAGTGTGTGTGTGTGTGTGAGAGAGTGTGTGTGTGTGTGTGAGAGAGAGAGAGAACCCAGAATGCCGTGGCAGAGCTTGTGTATCAGAGGCCCACAAAACCTTTAATTTAATTTAATTAAAGCTCACTTAACAAACACACACAGACGGAGGAGAGACAGAAGGAGAAAGAGGGAGGAGGTCACCAAATCCAATTTCTGGAGTCAGTGTCACCCCTCATTTGAAACGGGACTCATTTCACTGTATCAACACACACGCACACACACACACGCACTCACACAGACACACACACACTCACAC